GCTGTAAAGTTGTTGAGAATCACAGCTAAAATAGCCTCGGAGCCCGTCGTGGTGTAACTGGGGAGAGCCTGCCGCGACGCGACTCACTCTCAGCTACTGACGCTCTCACAGAATGGTGAGTTCCACCAGCAACCGCTTTATGTGCGTTAGTGATCGAGATCGCCGGGGCCAATGAGGGACAATGCCGGGCTGGCTGTACTTGTGCGTGATCTCGAAATCACAAACGCCGAGCTTCCACAACAGCTAACTCTCCTTCAAGCTAAAAGTACTAAGCACTAACCCGTAGGCACACAAATCTGTTCTGGACAGCTAACATTGCAGTCGAAGGCAGCCAAGAAGAAGTCGACCAAGAAGGCCAGATCCGGATCGGAGGCCGCTCAGTTTGACCAGAAGACGATAAACGAGTTCAAGGAGGCCTTCGGCATTATGGACCAGAACAAAGACGGGATCATCGACAAAGTAAGGATACTGGGCGGCGAAAACCGAAGTATCGTACTTTGCTTTTGAACGGAGTTTTCCCTAAAATTTTGCGTTATTCAGAATGATCTAAAGGATTTGTATGCCACAATGGGTCAAATTGCCTCAGATAAACAAATTGAAGATATGATCAAGGAAGCTCCTGGACCAATCAATTTCACCGTCTTCCTCACTTTGTTCGGCGAGCGATTGACAGGTGCAGCTGTTTGCTGCGTTAGAGCTATAGCTTTGTTGCAAAAAATTCAGCGTTCAAAAATATAGGAACTGATCCGGAGGCAACTATCATTGGTGCTTTCGCCATGTTCGATAAGAAAGAAACTGGAAAGCTTTCAGAGGAAGATTTGCTGAAAATTCTGCAGAATAGGCGAGGAGAGCCCCTGAATGAAGATGAAATCAAGGCTATGTACAAGGCAAGTCTTAAACGAGAGGTGGTTGTTTGTGAGTGGAAAGAAAGGAGAGAATGATTGCAGATTTTATTTTGAGGTATTGAAAAATGCCTTCTTAGGGTCATCCACCAATCGAAAACGGTGAAGTCGACTATAAAGCCTTTGCTCATCTGATCACCACCGGAGCTCAGGATGAACTTGCAAACGCGTGAGCCATTGTCTTCCATCGCCAATTCCTTTCGCTGTGGGAAAGATGCGAGCGAGCGCAACGCGGCGATGGCGAATCGCAGTCGCCGGCAATCGCGCGTTG